CTGTTATGATTTTGATGTTGTAGTAAATATCATTATCTTGTGTTTCCAAAAAAATGGGTTTTAGGGTAGTGTGGCAGAAATACTTGTAGGTGGGAATGACCTGAGGAGAACAAATAGAATGATGTCCTAAAAGAAAAAAACTTAGGAGGAATAGTTGGAAATGTTGGGATAGGTTTAGCCAGGAGAAGACAAGACCCCCTATCTGCTGGGGTTCTAGCGGGCTTCTTTGCGCAGTTGGTTGGCTACTGTGAGAACAAACTGCTGGACTAGATGAGCCAAGGGTCCTATCCAGTAGCTTACATTATGTTCTTAACAGTGCCAGATATGAACTTTGGTTTTCTTGGGTAATTTGGGCCATTTAAACAACTATTTATGTCATACATAATAATTAATACATTTTAAATATTCTCACTTTTACTAGTGGTTTATGATCCATAGGCTGAAACCCATTGCAGTAAACCATCAGGAACTACAGAGCCTGTGATTTTGGATTGGATCCAGGCTAAACTATATACATATAACATACCAGTTTCTTAAACTGCCAAAGAAAACAACTGGCAATGTGCAAGTTTTTCACCATAAGCCATTAACATTAATAGCATGATGTATTTGAAACTAACTGAACATTACATCAGATTAGACGTACATTAAGTTCATTGCAACAGTAGAATTGTGATTATAATTAAGACACAGATCATTGTTGCATATCCATTTGGCTCAACCTTGCCCAACTTATCATCTTTTAGTTATGTTGTACTTCTGACTGCAACTTCCAGAATTCCCAACCAACATGCTAACTTAGAATTCTGGCAACTATAATTTCAACATCTAAGGAGTACCAGACTGAGGGATGCTCATTTATAATCATTGAGCTAGAAAGTAACTTAGAGATCATCTAGTCTTATGCCCTGTCCAATGCAGGAATTATATATTACAGCATCCTCTGCAGATGGCCATCTAGCCTGTGACTAAACACCTCCAACAAATAAGGGTCTAGCATCTCTCACTTT